ATACTGATGTTAGCTGGTTCCTATTATTATCCATGGCAAAACTTGCATAACAGTGTCTTTTTCAATATGGTGGTGAGTAGCTGCAGAGAATGAATATTTACATTGTTCTATGGAAGAAGAAACTAGCAATTATTTTCACTATTTATTGATCAATTTGAATTAAAAAAAACGTATAAAACTGGGATCAATCAAAACCTTTTTTTTTTTTTAAATATATAGTTATCTTCAAGGTGAGGGAACTCAACTATAAGACACTTCTTTTTAAGGTAGGGATGTGGGCCTAACCAATTAAGGTGCGTGCCTTGCGCCATATGTTGCCTGTCGGTTTTGATAGTGATTCTAAATGTCTGAATGTTAATTCGTGTTTTTGTATTCATAATAGCTGAGAAATTATCCTTCTATTTGTGTTTAATCACAAGGGTGATAGGTAACCTTTTTGATCATACAGGTTTAATTTTCCATTCCCTGGTCTGTCCTGTAATGTGATTTGATATCGCACCTTTTGATGGGACCTTTTCTTAATGGTTATGGTGTCAATTTTCAGATTTTCAGTACAATTATCTGCTTGACTTTAGTTTTCTGCAGGGGCTAGAGAAATTACAACTAACATCTCCTGACTGCAATGAACCAGAATAAATGATTTCTCATCACAATAGTTAAGAGATAAACTGCTATGCTATTGATCCTCTCAACAAGATCATGTCATGAAGGTTAATCCATGCTGAGGCTGAATTCTGGAGGAAGTCTGAGGATATCAAGTTGGATGGAGTGATGAAATCTTGGGCTTTGATTGTGGGGGGCAAACAATGGGTATCAGAAACCTGTTTTCCTGCTGGAACTCTTTCCAAGCCTAGCATGAAGGACCTTGAGTACATAGAAGAGCTGAAGCAAATCATTGAGAAGGAAGAGATACCTGCTCCTGCTCCTATAGAGCAGCAACCAGAGCCGGATGAATCCTGCTTCAAACACAGTAGAAGATGACGTATTCTCATGGGTAATTTCTTTTTCCCTTCAATTTCAGTCTTCTGTCTTCATTCCTTCTCTTCTAGGATTTAGCAAAATCATTGAGGAATAGACAGCATCAGGTGTTCCTTTTTCTCTCCAACATGATCTGAAATTCACTAGCTATGATATTTCATTTCAGCTCTTCTGAAATTTTGATATTTCCTTCTGAATTTGAGTTCCATAGCAGCTATTTATTTTGCCCTTACTGGATGGCAAAATTTTGAATTATTTTCAGCATTTCGTGCTTTTATTAGGATCACGTGTTTCCTGTTGAGTTGTCTTCTCTTTAAATTTGGTATTCAAATATAGATCTCTCTTACCTTCCTTGTAAATACATGTCCAAGTTCATAAGTGCATGCATGCACACATACTGATTTGGCTTTGTCCATATTAATTCCGGTTAACTTTGTTTTTAAGTTGAACTTGTCAAATTGTATGTACTTGGTTTCATCCTGCTGACAGCTTAGCATATGTTGTTTAAAAAATTTTTAAAAATGTATATTATATCTATTACAAAGCCCTTAGATAAAGAAAAGATAAACCTATGTTGTTTTCCCAAAATCTTTCACATAAGGAAATAACTTTTCAGGTGAAATTTTGTTAGAATATATGACAAAAAAGACTGTTGCTATCATTGGGAACATGAATTTGGGAGAATGGATTTGGATTTGATTTATTATATAATTTGTTAGTGATTATAGCAAAATTTTATCTAAAAACTAGTTAAAATTCATTATGCATTTGAGAGGATATAACTGGATGAATTTCAAATTTCCTATGTCATTAAGGAATTTCAAATCCACTACTAAATAGAGATCCAGCAAATCTATAAATTTGAAAATAATTAAAAAAGTCATATTTTCAAGAGTTCTGTCACCCAGATTTATAGTAAATTTAAAATCTAAATTCCTTATTTCAAATTCAAGTTCTAAACACAACTTAGAAGAAACTGTCAAACCTCTAATAAAAAAGATATCCATTTCTCAACGTAGAAGCTTTTTGGTTCTAAATGAGTAAATGTTATTTGGGACCTTAGCTAGACAAGGAAGCCAGATTCTAAGAGTCAGATAAAATATTTTGGAATCTTGTACAACCTTTGACACGAATGTTTGAAACTCAAAACCAGTATTAATTTCTTGTGAGTACTAGTTACCAATAACCTTAACCGTTCTTTTCTTTGATAAAATCAAATCAATGTAAGGGTCTGGTATGTGTGCTGAGTAGATAACGTTTTTGGTTGAATTTCTTGTACTTCTCATATCTAAATCTGCTTTTCTTTTTGTATCTATAATCATGTACGTTCCTACAATGGATGCCTGTCAGAGAAAGGAAATAACAGAAGAATTCTTCCACTACAGGCATCTTACGCAGGCACAGTTGTGGGATAAGTATTCTGCGTCTGAACATTGGGCTAAGATTGAGGTAATGAATATGTCTTGATAATATTCTTGTTTATCTTTGTTTAAGAGTAAAACCACGGCCATATATCTACAGTGTCTGGCTTATATGATTGTTTGCCTAATAACTTAAGGTTTCTTGAGGTTCTAAAATTTGCTGAGTTCAGTTTGAGTAAGGCATAGAGTTTCAATGCTTGACAGTTAAAGACTTTTATAATTAGAAAAAAATTACTTTCTCCAATGTTCTTATTTAGATAGTACAATTGAAAATTGGCCATTCACCTATGTGGATATGTTGTGAGCAATATGGCACCGAGCTCAGTTGAACGTTAGTTTTATGAAAGTTTGTTTGGATTATCCCTAGGGTCAGATGTTCGTGTGCATGTCTGTGTGTAAATCCTGTAAAAGTTATGCAGAAATCAGGTGAAACCTTCTGGCTTATGCTTCTTTGTTCATGCACTTGAACGTGCATTTTTGTGACTAAATTTAGGTCATTTATGGTGTCAATATCCTACAGAAGTTGACTTCTAATAAAACTTGTGCTGCTTGTTTAAGCAGAAGTAATTCCACACAGTGTGCAGGTTCCAAAGAACAAGGAAGAACTTGAAGCTCTGCAAGCTAGGCTCAAAATGCGTTTTCCAGTGGCAGCATATAACAAAGCACGGAGGGAATTGAATCACAACAGGATCCTTTTTAATAACATGCTTGAAAAGATGTTCCCATTATCGGACAATGTTTGAAAAGTACACGCTACTGGTTAGTTCTTTATTCATTTTAAATCTTAAGAATTAAAATGCAGTTGGTCTGTTCTTTTGGCCAATTTAGTGGAAACATCTTTAGCACTAAGCTTGTACACCCAAATGGAAGGACATGAGGACATTTCTGTGTTTTAGAATTTTTATACATATAATAAGTGGTTCCGATTATCAGTATTTATTGACGCTACCGAACTTGCTATCAAAGTTCAGCTGTATCTATGGACAGTAGGAAGAAAAAGTAGTTTTGATGATTTATAGGGGGTCTGATGATTTATGGACTGACTCGGTTGGGTATTGGATGGATCATATCTATGATTTTCATTTTTATCAATCCCATTTGTTTCGAGTGTTATGGTTTTGCTAATTCTGCTCTCCCAACCGTATTTGCAATGTCTTTGGTGATACACCTTGTGTTCTTTGCTCGGGAGTACTTAATCCCAGTTTAGGAACTTTATAGTTAGCTAGAGCATGATTGGATGTTATCCTCAAACCTTGGCCATAATAAACTGTTCCCAGCGCTTGATTTCTAAGAGAAAATGTCATCTCACCTATTGGCACCATCATAGAGGAGGCAAGATGAAGGTTAACCAGTTTCCAATCTTACAGGGAAACTTGCATGCTATAGTTTACTACTAGAAAGTGACAATACTGGGTTGAAGACGACCCTGATGTGATAGCTGCGACACTGCGTGGTGACTGTATTTTTCCCTTAAAAAAAAAAAAATGTCATCTCAGTCAAATTACCTATCCATTCAAAGTTTTCATGTCAATAAAATTAATTTTATAAAAGTAAAATCAACAGTTATGTCTGCAAAATTAATAGAAGTAATAGATGGCATTAATAATTCAATTAATATTATCAAATTTAATTTGTATGGGGTAGAAATTTTTATAAATTATATTAGAAGACTTAAAAGTTTAAATTTTGTGCGAGTAAAAAGATTATTTGTATAATTTGATAATTAATTTTATTATTTAAATTATCAAGTAAAATCAATGCTTAAACTATCAAGTCAACAGTTACATAAGTATTTTTTTTAAATAAAAATTTGACAAAATTAATGATTAAATTAAATTATTAAATTAAAATAATACAAGAATTATATTTGTATTAGTTACATAATGAAATTTTAAATTTCAATAAACTGTGTTATTATTTTATCCCAACTTCAAGCCCAAACAGATGCTAGCTTTTCTAGCCCATCAGACAGGTTGGCCTTTAAGCCTGCCCGGAAACAGCTTTCAAGCATTGCCCATTCAAGATTTTCTATTTTATTTCATTTTCATTGGTTGGGAATTGCCAATGTGGTCTGCCAAAAGTTACATCAATTCTTTTTCATTTTTTAAAAAAATTATAGATAAGACAAGTTGAAGGCTAGAGATTTAAGTTTATCACTCTTTACTCCATTTTACTGCACGACATGAACAAATTTCCAGCTTTTTAGTTTTAGTAATTCAAATGAAAATTTGATGGAGGACTTTAGTTTTTAGCCCCCACCCAAAAAAAAAAAAAAAAAGAAAGAAAAAAAGAGAAGAATAGTGATGATTATGATAAGAAAGAACATGAACCGATTACTTTGGGCATGGGACATCTTAATTAATCCCTCTTAGTGCATGTCTGCCCCTGCCTTCGTTGACAGGAAACCTTCGCAAGTAGACCCCTTAATAATAAAAGATAATAAAACACTATGTAGGTTTGATAGACTAGCTCTCTTTATATATATATATCATAATAAGAAGAGGATAGAGTTATGCATTATTAAATATATTTCTTTTATTGAGTTAATAATTACTATTATAAGTAATTGATTTTTTTTTTTAATTTAGATTTAGAACGATTTGAATTCAATTTTTTAAACAAAAAGAAGTATATATAAATTATTGAGTCAAATTTTTTTAATTGTACAAGTGAATAATTAAATATATTATGAATAAAAATAAATAATAAAACTTGACTCAAGCTAATTAGTTGTTGATTCTAAGTCAAATCCAACTTGAAATTAATAAAATTTAAAATTTAAAATAATTGAAAAATCAAATATACAATTAAATAAAGAGTTATCAATTGAATTTTGCTAATGAATGCCATCAATCACTTTTAAGTTTAGTTAAATTATAATTCATAATAATATTTTTATATTAAATGTAATAGTGATGATTTATTTGGTGAATTTTAATTTTTTTGAGCAAATATTCCTAATATGGCAATCTTAAAAATTTTAATAAAACAGTTAATATTTTTCAACTTACATAAAAGAAAAAAAAATGAAGGAGTATACAATGTTTCTCCAAATAAAAAGGTTTCATATTAATTCTAAAGAAATTTAAAATCAATACATTTGTATATTTTTCATTTAAACGTCTTATAGCACTAACTTTCTTTTGTTATATAGAAAAGATAGAGTTATACATAATCAATCAATTTTTCATCTCATTTTTCTATTTAGGATAATTTTCATTGATGCTTCCATCAATTGAATGTAGTTGTATATTCTATCAATTAAAAGTTTAAATTTTCTTTTATTTAAAGAAATTTATTATATAAAAATATTAAAATACATAATTTTGAAAAATAAAATAAAATTCTAACTTTGATACTTGTCAAATTTTCTTTAAAAAATTTCAATTCTAAAATTAACAAACTTGTTATGTAATAACTACGATTTTATTTTTAGTATTAACAACATAAGTTTTTATGAATGTATGTAACTTTTGTATAAACACATTCAAAAAATAATTCCAATAAATTGTCACATCTTGAAAAAATTTACTAAAAGCAATTAATTTTACTTCACTTAATAATTTTTTACTTATAATAATTCACATTAGGTTGTTCAACCACTTAGATGACAAAAGAGGAGGAATTTAATACAATTGAGAAAGATTAAATAATCTTAAGATATAAGTTAATCATATATATATATATATGCATATTAAAGTACAAGTTGAAATAAAATTAAATCAATTATTATTTTAATCAAGGTGACAATTCTTATGATAACTTGACGAGATTAATCCTAAGCTACTAGTAGCTCCACTACTTCCTAAATCATCAAATTCTACATGTAAAAAATTTGATTAATCACATAGTGCTAATTATTGGTAGATGGGGTATAATTGATTTGATTTTGAATTTTGTTCATGGGAATTACAATTAAAAATTCTAGAGGAAAAAAATACAAAAGAAAAATTGATTATAGAAGTTAGACTAAACTGTAAAAATGATATATTAAAGAATTATTTCAAGAGATTAAAAAAATTTAATTATGTTATCAATAATCAAATGATCAACTCGTAAAACATATAAATAATATAATTATTAATATACATACGTAGTTAATATATTAAAACAAAAAATTGAAAGATGAAAAATAAAAAAATGATTAAATAACTTAATTATGATTATTTTTAATAAATTTATTTGTCAGCATAAATTACATATACAATTGTTTTTACAATAACTAAAAAAATAAAACTGCATATGATTGTTTTATTTCTTTGCAGATTAAGTTTTGTTCTCATTAAATTTGTATTTTCATTTGAAGTGAAAATCATTACTTATAAAAAAATAGTCTAATAATAAAAAAAATCATTTAAATTAAAATTTATAAAACATTACTAATGATATTTTAGTCAGTCACTTTTTTAACATTTTTTGAATTAAAATTTTATTAAGAGTATTTTAAATCAATCACTTTTAGTTCTATTTTAGTCTAATTATAAAAAAATTAATAATAAAAAATTCATTTAAATTAAGATTTATAAAAACATTTATAACAAATATTTTACTCAATCACTTTTTAACACTTTTGAATTAAAATTTTAAAATTTTAGGTAATTTGGTTTCACATAAACATTATTTTTAATTCTAATTGATTTAAATTAAATTTAACTAAATTAATAAAAGTTATATATTTAAAAATAAATTTGCTAATTTAAAAATTTATAAAAGTATTTAAGTTGATCACTATTAACACTATTAGAGTTTACACTTTTTTGTATAGATAGATAGATAAATGATAACAATATATTTCAATTTATTGATTTTAATTTTTATTTAATTTTTTTTAATAGAAAACTTAAAAAACTAGGCTACTAAAAACATTGGTTCTATTTTTTTTTCCCAAAACAATAACGTATTTATATTGTTTGTACAAAAAGAAGTTAATAGTCAAAACAATCAGAAATAAGATATTCAATAAAACTAAGCGTTTAGAATACATAGCTTAAAGCATGCCCGGAATATTTGCTTCAAGTCGTAAGAAGAAATATTGACTATTTTTTTATGGTTATTACTTTATCAAAGGAATTAAAATATAAATAAATAAATAAATATGTATATATATATATATATATATATAGAGAGAGAGAGAGAGAGAGAGAGAGAGAGATTGAATTCAGTCGCAAAGAAAACCCTAGCTAGATGGTTGTGGAGCAATCATCTTATTTCTCACCTGCTGTTTTGGATACTCATTGATGCTGCTAACGTTATTTAGATATGGCTAACTCGAAAGAAGTTAGTCACACTAGCTACCAGATTCAACAATTGAGAAGCCAGGCTTGTTTTATTTATATTTATATATATATAATCCATTTTCATTAGACATGGCTTCATTCAATTCTCACATCAATCAATTTATAAGAAGATATTGCTATTATTTTGGTGGCTGATAAAGACATGGAAGTCCATCTTTTGCAGCAATGTATAACAATTAACGGTAGATTTAACCTAAATAAAGCCAGGGAAATTTTAGAACAACATAACATATGATAGTATTTTTTTTTCATTTATACTAATTATGCAAACATACATATGCAAGAAAGCATCCATTACAAGAATTCCCAGCTGAAATACGACAATTATGTATGATATAATTTTTGTTCATCTGCTACTAACCCCCTAATGTTCGTTGAGTATATGGTATGCATGCAAAATTTAATAAGGGGAAGGGGATTCAACACCCTGAAATTGTACCATAAATTTCAAGATCACGAAATGAGGGACGGTTAAGGATGTTTCTTGACTACAATGGCCATTTAACTAATACATGCTGTTAATCAACAAATAGTAGTGGAAAAATAGTCTAGTACTGAAGAGACATTAAGATTAAAATATCTAGACAAATCCATGAATATAGTTACAGAAGCAGATTCACTCTTTAATATTCTTCTTTCTTTATATGAGGTTCTACTTATAATTAAGTTACTACAATTGATTTCGGTCATCATATATCTAAAAACATGAGTTCATTGAACAGATCAGTAATTAAGTATGGGATGTTAACCAAAACACAAGCTCAAAGCTCTTGACAGAGACAGATACTGCACGAATTTGGTAAGTGCTTATAAATGAATAAGAATCTAGGAGCTCCAAGAGGTATTAACATCAGCATAAAACAAAAAAACCATTTGTGACCTTCACACATGTAACCATAATTACACGCTAGTCTAAATTTTATGTTTATTAAGGAATGATCATGGTTATGGATTACAATGCGGCATTGAAGTTTCCGATCACTGAGATTGATGATGTTGCTCGTTAGTTTCCTAATTCTTAATTATCTATTTTCCTCCCTGACTGAAGAATCAAAATCACAAATCCCACTCATGCTTTAGG